TTTGCTCCTCCTTTAACCTAAATTATTCCTTTCATGAGGTTAGTGACTTCTGACAGGCAGAGGTAGGTAGTCTGAAGCCTGATTACCTGGTCCCAAAGTGGAGGAAATGGAGCCCTGACCCAAACAAATAGGTAGTAAAGGTAAATTAAAAATACGAAAAGTTATTTTGAAAGGCATATGTTGAGATGTTTAATATTATTTCCAGCCCTGTCTGGTGCACCCTGTAGAACTCCTCCACCTTATCATATGTCACTCTTAATAGCTCCTATATATCCGTCCAGTGTTTACATAAATAAAAGCAAATATGAACGTTTGTTCTTACCCCCCTCATACTCTTTTAAACAAACGGTAGCTCATGTAACCTGTTCTGTACTATTTTGCCCTTAACAGTATGTTTTGGGGATCTTTCCTTGTTAGTACAGAGAAAGCTTTCTCATTCTTAAATCAGAGCTGCATAGTATTCCATTGGGTGGATGGCTGCCTCCTACTTTATTGAATCAGTTCCTTATACATGTGCACTTGAGTTGTTTCCAGTGTTTGCTCTTATAAGCAATACTTCAGTGAGCAAAGGCAGCTCTTTTTTTTTTTTTTTTTTTGAGATGGAGTCTTGCTTTGTTGCCCATGCCAGAGTGCAGTGGCGAGATCTCAGCTCACTGCAACCTTCGCCTCCTGGGTTCAAGCGATTCTCCTGCCTCAGCCTCCTGAGTAGCTGGGATTACAGCCATGCACCAACATGCCCGACTAATTTTTGTATTTTTGGTAGAGATAAGGTTTTGCCATGTTGGTCAGGATGGTCTCAAACTTCTGACCTCAGGTGATCCACGCTCTTGGCCTCCCAAAATGGTGGGGATTACAGGCCTAAGCCATTGTGCCCGGTCAAAGGCAACTTATTTATTTGTTTATTCATTTACTTTTGAGACAAAGTTTGGCTCTTGTTGCCCAGGCTGGAGTGCAGTGGTGCAATCTCGGCTCACTGCAACCTCTGCCTCCTGGGTTCAAGTGATTCTCCTGCCTCGGCTTTCTGAGTAGCTGGGATTACAGTCATGTGCCATCACACCCAGCTAAGTTTTTGTATTTTTAGTAGAGACGGGGTTTCACCATGTTAGCCAGGATGATCTTGATCTCCTCACCTCAGGTGATCTGCCTGCCTTGTCCTCCCAAAGTATTGGGATTATAGGTATGAACCACCATGCCTGGCCAAAGGCAGCTTTTTAAAGGGTTGCACAGCACCGCATATGCTACTTAAAATGAGATTATTATTCTTCATTCTTAGAATGCCAGTTGGTTTTATTGGTTGATAAATTCCCAGTTACTCGTACTCACAAGCGCAGCATTGATGATGAGTCTGACATCTTTTCGTAACTTAAGAATCATTAGTATGACTGCCTCAAGGAGGCATACTGCTCTCTCTCAGGTTCATTTCAATAATAAGACCTCTGGAAGGTTTAATAATGAAACCTACTTAAAGCCCTTTGCTCAAGAAGTCTGAATCACTGATCACTGCAATTACTGTCATGGCAGCTGTAGAGCAATTTAACAGGGTAATAGTGAATAAGATATATTACACTTCAGATTTTTTTTTTTTTTTTTTTTTTTGAGACGGAGTCTCGCTCTGTCACCCAGGCTGGAGTGCAGTGGCCGGATCTCAGCTCACTGCAAGCTCCGCCTCCCGGGTTTACGCCATTCTCCTGCCTCAGCCTCCCGAGTAGCTGGGACTACAGGCGCCGCCACCACGCCCGGCTAGTTTTTTGTATTTTTTAGTAGAGACGGGGTTTCACCGTGTTAGCCAGGATGGTCTCGATCTCCTGACCTCGTGATCCGCCCGTCTCGGCCTCCCAAAGTGCTGGGATTACAGGCTTGAGCCACCGCGCCCGGCCACACTTCAGATTCTTAATGGATTGATGTGCAAAAGTATGTAAGAGAAGATGGGGGTGGGAGAGGAGTGCCTTTCAAATTTCTGCACACAGTAATAAAATAGGGAACTGGGCCATTGTAGCCATTACTGCTGGGGATTAGTCATCTAGTAACAAGCTCTGGGGCTCAGTGGTGGGTAGAACATCCTGTTTATTACAGACAACAAATTGGGTTAATTCTCTTGTTTGTGTGCCTCTGTGGAGGGGGTGGAAATTCTAGGCGATTTGCTAATTGTCTGATTTAGAATACTCCCTTTTCTACTAAATAATTAGCATCTTGGTGTGAAAATGGGAGGCAGACCAGTTTTACAAATAGCTACTGGCCAGGAGAATAAATTTCTGCCAGGTGAGAGGGTAAAAAAAGGCAGCCTGGAAAAATAACTGTAGGCTGGTAATTGTTTCTTATTTTCAAGGCTAACATAAGTTCTCCCCATGTGTTGGGGATGGAGGAGGGGATGGATCGGTTAAGAAGTGAGTACAGGCCGGGCGCGGTGGCTCAAGCCTGTAATCCCAGCACTTTGGGAGGCCGAGACGGGTGGATCACGAGGTCAGGAGATCGAGACCATCCTGGCTAACACAGTGAAACCCCGTCTCTACTAAAAAATACAAAAAAAAAAATAGCCGGGCAAGGTGGCGGGCGCCTGTAGTCCCAGCTACTCGGGAGGCTGAGGCAGGAGAATGGCGCAAACCCGGGAGGCGGAGCTTGCAGTGAGCTGAGATCCAGCCAGTGCACTCCAGCCTGGGCGATCGTGCGAGACTCCATCACAAAAAAAAAAAAAAAAAAAGAAGTGAGTACCATGCTTGCTTTGAGTGTCCCTCAATTTGTGTTTAGGGGAGAAGAGTGAAGATGTGGTTATATGGGTGGGGAGTGGGCCCAGGGAAGGGACCCGAGGAAGGAAATCCAGGAGACTTTGCTGTAGTTCCACCCTTAGGGATATTCCTTGGCACCTTGTCACATTATGGATGCCTCACCATCTGATGGGTATCGATTTTTTTTTTTTCTTTTGAGATGGAGTTTCACTCTTGTTGCCCGGGCTGGGGTGTAATCTTGGCTCACTGCAACCTCCTCCTGGGTTCAAACAATTCTCCTGCCTCAGCCTTCCGAGTAGCTGGGATTACAGGCATGCACCACCACACCTGACTAATTTTGTATTTTTACTAGAGACAGGCTTTCTCCATGTTGGTCAGGCTGTTCTCAAACTCCTGACCTCAGGTGATCTGCCCGCCTTGGCCTCCCAAAGTGCTAAGATTATAGGCGTGAGCCACTTCGCCAGGCAAATCACAATTTTAAAAAACCACCATGGCCTAGTTAATGATGCTTATTAGCTCATCGCCGCCAATCATTGTGCACACTCACTTCCTATATCAGAGGCTCTAAACTGCCCAATTTTTTTTTTTTTTTTTTTTCTAAGATGGAGTCTTGTTCTGTCGCCCAGGCTGGAGTACAGTGGCACAGTCTTGGCTCACTGCAACATCTGCCTTCTGGGTTAAAGGGATTCTCATGCCTCAGCCTCCCGAGCAGCTGGGATTACAGGTGTCCACCACCATGCCCACCTAATTTTTGTATTTTTTTGTTGGCCAGACTGGTCTCAAACTCCTGATCTCAAGTAATCTGCCCACCTCTGCCTCCCAAAGTGCTGAGATTACAGGCGTGAGCCACCGTGCCCAACCTAAACTGCCCAATTTTAAGGGAACAATTGGGAAAACACTTGTTTAAAAAGGAGATTAAGGAGTTGCCATGACTGTGGTTAGCTGTGTGAAGACCCTAGAAAACCTGTGTAAACTCCTGGGGGCTCACAGTCTACTGCCTGGTCAAGAGCCTTAGAAAACTTAGATGTACATGTTAGGAGACCAGGTCTGAAAGCTTCCCAGGGCTGTATAAACTTCTACATTAAGTTCCATGATTCCTGATGAGTAGTCCCACGTTTCCACAGTAGACACGCTATTGCTGCTTCTTTCCTTATCATGAGAAGAGCAGAAGATGCAGATAATACGTGAAGCAGGAAGACAAAGGGGAGATACTGAACTTGTCACCTATCTTTGGGTGCCCATCATGCTTCATGTTTCCCATTGAGCCTCACTAATCAGTGACACAGGGAATGGTCCCTTTGCTCTCTACTTTCCCTGTGGCTGCCTGGAGGTAGGGAGGCAGATCGTGCCACTTGCTGACATTATGTTGCTGTGGATGAGTTGGAGGGACAGGAACAGGAAATGTTCCTGGCGGTGTTTGTGTCACTGGGGCTCACAGGGGTACTTTTCAATCTTCTCACTGGCCTCTGTGATTCTGTGACCCTGGTTATTACATGTTCAGAAAGTATCAGCTTATTTGAAAGTGATACTCTTATTTTCTATTTAAACATTGCCAAAAACCGTCACCCTTTTTTTTTTTTAATTGAAACATTTTGGTATTTTTTATTTTTTGGAGACAAGAGTCTCACCCTTTCATATGGACATGAAGGGACTCATAGTCCTTCCCCTACTGTTGGTCTTCAGTAACATATCAATGAAGGATCATGTCTGAATGAATTATGGAAGTTCAGGAACTAAAAGAGGAAGGTCCCAGAAACTGGGCTTTGGTATATTTCTGCTACTACACTTGCTATTGAAACCAAGCAGACAACTTCATTTCTCTTGGATTCAGCTTTCTCATGTGTCAGGATGGGAGAGGAAGGGAGGCATTGGGCTAAATGTCATTCCGCTGTCTGTACTTCGAATCTGGCTGACACACGTGAGGCAAATACTTAGATTTGTTGACAGTGGTTTCCTGGAGTGCTGTCTTGAACAATTCTGAGCAAGCTTAGCAAGAAAGTGTGTTTGAGTTGATTGGGTGTATCTGTCACGGAGAAGGAAGTAATGAATGGGGAGTGCTCGCAGGAACATTCCCCAAATGTTCCTCCTAAAAGTATTTATTTTTTAGGCTTGTTCTTCAGATTTGCCCAATATCCTAAGCAAAATGCCTTCAATATGAAGTGAATATTGCTCGATTGTAGGGAACTTGTCCGTAATGTACTGAGAATGCAGATACAAATAAAATAAGGTCTATATCAAATTTTATTTTCCACAAATTATGTTCTCTTGAACTTTCAGCTCAAGCTCTTGGACTCACTGAGGCAGTAAAAGTACCATATCCTGTTTGAATCAAACCCCGAGTTCCTGTATGTAGAAGCCTTGCCAGACAGGATCCCCTTTCGAAACCCTTCTCGTTTGGAATTCCATGACTGGAAAGGATCCTTCGTGAGAGTAATAAAATCAAGTTTGTTGTTAAAAAGTAAGTTCTAGGCGGGACATGGTGGCTCACATCTGTAATCCCAGCACTTTGGGAGGCCGAGGCGGGCAGATCACCTGAGGTCAGAAGTTTGAGACCAGCCTGGCAAACATGGCGAAACCCTGTATCTGCTAAAAATACAAAGAATTAGCCAGGCGTGGTGGCGGGTGCTTGTAAACCCAGCTACTTGGGAGGCTGAAGCAGGTGAATCACTTAAACCTGGGAGGCAGAGGATGCAGTGAGCCAAGATCACACCACTGCACTCCAGCCTGGGTGACAGAGTGAGACTCTGCCTCAACAACAACAACAACAATAAAAGAGTAAGTTCTATTTGCCACTGTGGTCATTTCTGGGATTAAAACAATAAAATGACATTTCTACTAAAATGTTTTTCCAGCTAGAGGTGACAAGTGTGGCTGTAAGTCCTTGATGAAAAGCCTGACTCTGAGTTGCGGTCCTGGCACTCTCCATGGACCCTGCATCCCATACCCAGTCGTCTTCATCAGTACAAGAATAGTGACCACTGCCTCCACGGTGTTCAGAGGCACTGTGGTGGCTCGCAGTATGCCTTAGTACTTGAATGAAGTTTAATCTGCTGGGTTTTATCTGCTCTGTTATTCCTGGGTTAGTCTTGTTAGGGACTAAATATTGACAATTGAGTTTCTTTCCTTTTTTTTCTTTTTGAGACAAAGTTTCACTCTTGTTGCCCAGGCTGGAGTGCAATGGCGCGATCTTGACTCACTGCAACCTCCGCCTCCCAGGTTCCAGTGATTCTCCTGCCTCAGCCTCCTGAGTAGCTGGGATTACAGGCATGTGCCACCATTCCTGGCTAATTTTTGTATTTTTCGTAGAGACGGGGTTTCACCAAGTTGGTCAGGCTGGTCTCAAACTTCTGATCTCAGGCGACCCACCCGCCTCAGCCTCCCAAACTGTTGGGACTACAGGTGTGAGTCACTGTGCCCGGCCTGATGATTTTTTTATTATATCTGTGTTTCTGCAGAATTTTAGTGGCTGAAGAAAGTACACTAGTGTTAACTTTCTTTTTCATGATAGAAGTAATTTACTCTTCATACACTTACTTGCCAGTCATGGGAAGGAAAAGTTAGGATTTTCATCCACAGTGATAGGAATTATTGTGACATTACAGGATGACTCTGTGAACACCTTTAGGAAAAACCCTGGTCATATCACAACCGTTTTACTAGCTGTGAGGCTACCATTGTACTGGCTACTATACCATTTCTTGGTTTTCTAGACCTGAAATAGTTATTTTCTACTTGCCTCCTGTAATGGCTAATAAAATAAACGCTAAAAGTAGAAGATTACCTGTACTTCATATTATATTTCGCTGCATTAAGACATTCTTTATCAGCATTCCTTAAATCACAGAATCATTGGCCACTGTCTTTGTAGGACTTGCAGTTAGTTTCCTGGCTTTTTAAGGTATATTATTTAATGGACCTCTTTTTCTTTAAAAAAAAATTTTATTGGAAGTGTCACATTTGCAATCTCACTTCATGTTTCCATGGCTTTGTTGAGCCCCTTGTGGAGGATAACACTGTAAGTTTAATTCTGCAGGTTTCCTTCTTTTTTTTTTTCTCGAGACAGAGTCTCGCTGGAGTGCAGTGGCGCAATCGCAATCTCGGCTCACTGCAACCTCCGCCTCCTGGGTTCAAGCAATTCTGCGGCATCAGTCTCCTGAGTAGCTGGGACTACAGGTGTGTGCCACCATGCCCAGTAAATCTTTTTTTTTTTTTTTTTTTTTAGTAGAGACGAGGTTTCACCATGTTGGCCAGGCTGGTCTCAAATCAAAACTCCTGACCTTATGATCCACCTGCCTCGGCCTCCCAAAGTGCTGGGATTACAGGCATGAGCCACCACGCCCAGCCACAGGTTTCTTGGAAAAGAGCCAAACTGAATAAATGTTAATACTCTGCTCTTATAAAGCGTCTCCTTCTGTATTTTTTTCCTCCAATATACTAAAGTAATTCTGTGCTTATTTTACAGACTAAAGTAATTCTGTGCTTATTTTATAGCTTTGCAGTCCCCAAAAAGACCATGAAGTCCTGAGAGTAATGAAAAGCTTCCTGACATTGAGGTCACTGTGGAAGGTAAGGGCCAGTTCTTGGCATGTTTCTGTTGATTCTCCAGTTTAATAGTTATGTCAATTCACTAGCTATGTGTTCATACAGATTATAGTAACCAAACTCATTGTACATGTGAACAACTAACTTTGATAAAGCTAAACTTCTGAATGTTTTTAATTGAAATTTTGAAAATCATTAACAGATAATAAATAACATGGATCACATTACAAACTGCACTCAAGAAAATCCCTAAAATGCTTTTCCTCTATTACAACAAATAAGGGTGCAGAGGGTCATGTGGAATGTTTCTTCGTCTTTTGTCTTCTTTGTTTTTTCTATTCTTTTGAGGAAAGAAAGTTGAGGGGTGGTTTAAAAAGCAGTGCCTAGAATGAAAGTATTTCCTACAGCACCCTCTAGTGTACTTCCTTCTCTCCATTCCCATGGGGTCTGCAGGGTTCTCATCTTTTCATGTTCACAGTATTAAAATACCTCATACAATATCAAAACAGTTTCCAACCAACCCTCAAATATGGGTATTTCTTCCATCTCATAAATGCCAAAGGAAATAGCTGCGTTAGGGTCATTCTTTTTTTTTTTTTGGAGATGGAAGTCTCGCTCTGTCACCCAGGCTGGAGTGCAGTGGCATGATCTCAACTCACTGCAGCCTCTGCCTCCTGGGTTCAAGCAATTCTCCTGCCTCAGCCTCCTGAGTAGCTGGGACTACAGGTGCACGCTGTGACGTCCAGCTAATTTTTTGTATTTTAGTAGAGACAGGATTTCAGCATGTTGCCCAGTCCAGTCTTAAGCTCCTGAGCTCAGGCAGTCTGCCTGCCTCGGCCTCCCAAAGTGCTAGGATTACAGGCATGAGCCATGACGCGTAGCCTAGGATCATTCTTTATGTCCTAGGTGTCAATTTTTTAAATAAGAGTTTGCAGTACTGGTGTTTAGCGGCGCAGTAATTTCCATTTAATCATCTGGCATACTCAGAGGATACCAAATGACTGAGAGTATACCTCACAGAGAGTATACCAGATGACTAAATGGGGACTACAACAAGTATTTAAACTCTTCATTCATTGATCCTGTTAAAGGAAAGCTTATTTTATAACATAAATTCTTGGTTATGAATTAGATGTTTCTCCTATGAAAACTTGTAGGCATCTTTTAGCAACTTCGTACCAGATTATTTCTGTTCAGAAGTACCAAGAGTTAAAAATACATTCAAACCTTTACTTTTCTCCTTTTGGAAAAGATCAGAGGATCAGAGATCTCTCCTCTACACAAGGTGCCATCCTTTCCTGAGGGAGCTCCTTGTCGAGTGTATGAGGTGTTCCTTTTGGTAAAAAGACACACTGCGTGACCAAAGAGACCTGAGCCTGAACCTACAAAGATTTGAACAAGGTGAACAATGACACTATGTAAAACATGTGTCACCATGCCTGGCCTCTGCTAGTCCTATATTCTTAGAGTTCTTTTTTTGGTAGCCAATCTCTATGCTGTTGCCCTGTTATAATTAATATTTTTTTATTTTAAATTTAACACTTTATACTTTTGAGTGGTTTATGTCTCCTGTTTGGACTCTGACAAATATAGAACTGATGCTAGGAAGGGTCCCAGGAGATAGACCCACATAGATGGGATTTGGGCATAGGTTTGGTTATCCAAGGGGCAGTGCTGAGCTCCTTGCCAATGGGAAATGGGATGCTGTTGAGTTCCAGGAAGTGACCTCACAATGACTCAAGCTACCACTTATTGTTGATTGTGATGAAATGCCAGCTGAGGCACATGCATTGGGAGTTAAGTGGCTGCTGCACGTGACCGCTGTGAAGACTGGTGTGGGAAGGGTCCTTTTGGATGCACTTGAGCGGGGGCCCCGAATCCCTGGGTCACAGGCCTGTATTGGGCCACACAGCAGGAGGTGAGCAGTGGGTGGGCGAGTGAAGCTTCATCTGTATTTACAGCCGCTCCCCACATGACCGCCTGATCTCTGTCTCCTGTCAGATCAGCGGCAGCTTTAGATTCTCATGGGAGCACAAACCCTATTGTGAACTGCGCATGCGCGGGATCTACCTTGCTCTGTCCTTATGAGAATCTAATGCCTGATGATCTGTCAGTGTCTCCCATCACCCCCAGATGGGACCGTCTAGTTGCAGGAAAACAAGCTCAGGACTCCCACTGATTCTACATTATGGTGAGTTATATAATTATTTTGTTATATGTTACAATGTAGTAATAATAGAAATAAAGTACACAATAAATGTAATGTGCTTGATATATCCCAAAACTGACCTTTGCTGCCCCTAGTCTGTGGAAAAACTGTCTTCCACAAAACTGGTCCCTGGTCCCCCAAAAATTGGGGACTGCTGCACTTGAGCACTTACAGAGATAAAAACAAAAAGCTCAAGTCTTTACCTTTCAGCATAAGTCATGGTCTAAGATCCAGAGAGCTTCCATGATAGCCCAAACACAATTCCTTATTTCTTGCATCCATAGGGCTGATATTATTGGAAATCAAACACAAACTTAAATGTGTGGGTTGCTGAATTACAATGACAGTTGAATCAGTTGAATTCACTGTGTCACCAAGGTTCTCAAGAGAATGTTAGGGCACTAATAAGTGAAGAATGGAATTTTTTTTTTTTTTCTTTTTTTTTTTGAGACAGTCTCCCTGTGTTGCCCAGGCTGGAGCACAGTGGGGTGATCTCGGCTCACTGCAGTCTCAACCTCCCGGGCTCAAGCTATCCTCCCGCCTCAGCCTCCGGGGTAGCTGGGACCACAGGTATAAGCCACCATGCCTAGCTAATTTTTGTGTTTTTTGTAGAAATGTGGTTCACCACATTGCTCAGGCTGGTCTCAAACTCCTGGGCTCAAGCCATCTGCCCACCTTGGACTTCCCAAGTTTTGAGATTATAGGCAGGAGCCACTGTGCCTGGCCCTGTTCTCTTTTACACTGGTTTATTGTAAGGGCCTCCAGTTGTCTTCCTGACTTCTAGGCTTGCTCACTTCATCCTGTTCACAGAAGCCAGAAGAATTCTCCTAAAAGGCAAATTTGGGTCAAAATAGTCCTTGATTAAAACCTGCTGGTGACTGCCCATTGCCTTTAAGACAGAGTCAAACTAATTTGGCAACAGGACCTGGTAAGAGCTGGTCTCCGCTCACCTTCCCAGTTTTATCGTGCACCACCCTCCCCATATCCCTACCCTCCAGCCACACGGAATGTAAATTTCCTTGGGGGACTTTACTGGTCCTGCGGGAAACCCTCTCCCCACCCCCATCATCACTCTTTCACTCTCATCGTTGCTTATCTTTAGCCTCAGCCGAGATGTCTCACCCCACTCTCTGTGATGCAACAAGAAGCCCCTTGGGAGGTTTCAGTCCCACTCTGTACTTCTGTTATGTGCTCATCACAGTCTGGTAAGTGTTGGCCTATGATTCCTAGATTAGTCCATTTTTCATTGCTATAAGGAAATACCTCAGGCTGGGTAGTTTATAAAGAAAAAAGGTTTATTTGGCTCACAGTCCTGCAGACTATACAAGTAGCATGGTGCCAGGCTGGGCACAGTGGCCCACACCTGTAATCCCGGCACTTTGGGATACTGAGGCAGGAGGATTGCTTAAGCCCAGAAGTTTGAAACCAGCCTGGGAAACGTGGTGAGATCTTATCTGTAGTAAAAATGAAAAAAAAAAAATAGCCAGGCGTGATGGTGCACTGATGCATGCCTGTGGTTTCAGCTACTTGGGAGTCTAAGGTAAAAAGATCTCTTTAGCCCAGGAGGTCAGGGTTGCAGTGAGCCATAATTACACCGCTGCTCTCTAGCCTGAGTGTCAGAGTGAGATCCTGTCTCAGAAAAAAAAAGCATAGTTCCAGCATCCGCTGGTGAGGACCTCAGGAGGCTTCCTCTCACGGCGGAAGGTGGAGGAGGAGCCGGCATGTCACTTGTTGAGAAGAAGGAGCAAGGGAGGGGGGAGGAGGTGCCAGGCTCTTTAAACAATCAGCTCTCACATGAACTAGTAGAGAGAGAACTCACTCATTACCATGGGGAGGGCACCAAGCCATTCATGAGGGATCTGCCCCCATGACCCACACACCTCCCACCAGGCACCACCTCCAACATTAGGGATTTAATTTCAATATGAGATTTGAAGGAGACAAACATTCAAACTCTATCAATTTCCTGCTACCCTATAAGCTCTGTGAGGGCAGAAACTCTTTTTCTTTTCTTTTCTTTTTTTTTTCTGAGACAGAGTTTCACTCTTGTTGCCCAGGCTGGAGTGCAGTGCCGCGACCTCAGCTCACTGCAACCTCCACTCCCAGGTTCAAGCGATTCTCCTGCCTGAGCCTCCTGAGTTACTGGGATTGCAGGCATGCACAATCATGGCCCGCTAATTTCTGTACTTTTAGTACAGAGATGGGGTTTCACCATGTTAGTAAGGCTGGTCACGAACTCCTGACCTCAAGTGATTCACCTGCTTCGGCCTCCCAAAGTGCTGGGATTACAGGCATGAGCCACCGCTCCCGGCCAAGGGCAGAAACTCTTATACCTTGTTCACTGTGCTTTCTTGGGCACCCATTATAGTGCCTGGTATGTAGTAGGAGCTCAAGAGGTGTTTGTTAGGGCCTGATGTGTTGGCTTAAGCCTGTAATCCCAACACTTTGGGAGGTGGGGGCCAGAGGATTGCTTGTGCCTAGGAATTCAAGGCTAGCCTGGGAAACATAGTGAGACCCTGTCTCTACAAAAAATAATAAACTGGCCGGGCGTGGTGGCTCACGTGTGTAATCCCAGCACTTTGGTAGGCTGAGGTATGCAGATCACCTGAGGTCAGGAGTTCAAGACCAGCCTGGCGAACATGGTGAAACCCCATCTCTACTGAAAATATAAGAATTAGTCGGGCATGGTGACACACACCTGTAATCCCAGCTACTCGGGAGGTTGAAGAAAGGGAATCACTTAAACCCAGGAGGCAGAGGTTGCAGTGAGCCGAGATCATGCTGCTGCACTCCATCTAGCCTGGGCGACGGAGCAAGACTCTGTCTGGAAAAAAAAAAAAAAAGAAAAATTAATAAACTTAGCTAGGTGTGGTGTTACGTGACTGTAATCTCAACTACTTGGGAGGCTGAGGTGGGAGGATCACTTGAGCCCAGGTGATGGAAGCTGCGGTGAGCCAGCCCAGGTGATGGAAGCTGCAGTGAGCCAGCCCAGGTGATGGAAGCTGTGGTGAGCCATAATCACCTCACTGTACCTCAGCCTGTGTGACTCTGTCTCAAAAAAAGTAAAAAAAAAAAAAAAAGAAAAAGAAAAAAAAGAAAAAAGAAATATTTGTTGGGGAAAAAAAAAAGAATGAATGAACAAGCAGTGTCAGGAGAGTACTGTGAATGTGGGTCCTGTCAGTAGAGTATAGGTACTTGGGCAGGAGCGGCTGGACTTGAAGAGCAGGTTGGTGGAGACCAGGTCATTCATCCTAAGCAGTTTGCCCTGTAGCATGTAGATGAAATATCCCACGTTGCCTGCTGGTGACTGAACTGGGCTTCCTGTTTCTGTGTTTGGTTTGACCATCACAGTGTTGAAGAACTGTTGAAGTGAGTACTTTATAGTTTGCTACAGTTTCCCCCGGTCTCCCACATTATCTCCGGCCTCTTTCCCTCGTGTAGGTTGCCTGACCCGCTGAGATCTGTGTTTGCTGTTCCTGTAGATGGGTGGGTATGAGGTGATTTAAGGAGGAAGATTTAATATATGAGTTATAGAAAGATAAATAAACTGGGCGCAGTGACTAAAGCCTATAATCCCAGCACTTTGGAAGGCCAAGGCGGAAGGATTAGTTTGACCCAGGAGTTCAGGACCAGTCTGGGCCACATAGTGAGACCCCCTCTCTAAAAAAATTAAAAAACTAGCCAGGCATGGTGGCATGCACCTATAATCCCAGCTACTCGGGAGAGTGAAGTGGGAGAATAGCTCGAGCCCAGGAGTTCAAAACTGCAGTAAGCGGTGATCTTGCCACTGCACTCCAGTCTGAGTGACAGAGTGAGACCGTATCTTAGAAAAAAAAAAAAAAAAAAAAAAAAAGCAAGAGAGAGAGAAATAGATCCAGCATTAGTAGGAGTGTGCTTTTGAGTGCTCTTTAGGATAAAATTTTATTTTAATATTTTTTCTTCTTTAAATTTTTTATATTCTAGCAAGCCATTTCTTCAATGAGGAGAAATTAATTTCATCCAAAGAGCCCTAGGAGCAAGGGCAGACTCAGAAAATCAGGGGCACTATAGTCAGTTTGAGCAGCTTATATCTTCAGACTGCTAAGCTGGCCAGTGCCAGGCTGGGTCCATTCTCTCCCCCTTTGATTTCTCAAACACAAAGCACCCTGCTGGAATCTCAAGTTGGATCTGTAGTAGGTCACCGTGAACTCAGCAGCCTGCTATGTTGTGAGTCCTCATGCCAGGAACTGTGCGGGATACAAAATGTAAGAGAAGGCTGGAATAGAGCATCTCCGGGGGAAATGAGAGCCAGAGATATGGTGGTGCCCCATGGAGATATCCAGCTGGTGTTTGGTAGTGCCTTGTGGAAAGGCTGTACTTTGGCAAGGTCTCCACATCTGCAATGTGGCCTTCAATATTATAGGTCCCCAAACTCCAGGTTTTTACATTTCCTGCATAGGTCAGGGTCGTAGGGAGTGAATCAATCATCCTAGCAGAACTCCCTGGTTTTTAAGGCAGGCATTCCGTTTATTAATTGACAAAGGAGGCATATTTCTCCTTTGGTAACCTGATGATTTAGGTCTTTTCCCTAGGGACTGCCTTTCCACATAAATGTTCTTGGAAAACTAAGCAGAGGATGAGGGAAAGGCTGTGAACAAGCTTGCTGGTCCCTCCCTGTCCTAAAAAAGAGCATACCTCTCTGTAACCAGAAGACTTTTCACTAGTCCAGGCTGGGCAGACTGGGACAAGAGAGACAGAGAGAGAGAGAGAGCTGACTGCAGCTTCCACTTCTGCAGCTTCTACTTCCATCCTCCCACTTCAACCTCCAAAGTAGCTGGGACTATAGGAATGTGCCACCGCACCAGCTCATTTTCTAATTTTTCATAGAGATGAGGGTTCACTGTGTTGCCCAGGCTGCTCTTGAACTTCTGGCCTCACGGGATCCTCCTGCCTTAGTCTCCCAATGGGCTGGGATTATAGGTATGGACCACCTACCTGACCTGTGGTGAGTTTTCAACAATGTGATTCCTCTTTTATAGAACCACCTAAGCTGAAGATTCCCTTGAGAACAAGGGCTAGCCTGTGATTTCATGGCCTTTCTTCCATTTGTGGTTCTTGCCAAGTGGAATTTAAGTGACCTCTTATCAAGATGAATAAACCCAAGTTTCCCAGTGCTGGAATATAGAAAACGGATGGACAAGTAAGTCCCACTCAGCACCCATAGCCCAGACGTGGGGACCTCAACACACCTGGGCCCCAGACATCACCTTTCATTGTGAGTAGCTCAGAGATGACACTTTTGGTTGTTAAATGCCCACTGGCAATATTTTATATAACAGCAAGTGAAGGAATAAATAGTCACCAAAACATTTTCTGTTCCCAATTCCAACATTAATTGGATGATATAATTATTTTATGAAGAATTTTCATGTGGCATAGTCCTGGGCATATCTTCAAGTGAACAGAAAAATTCTATTAAAAAATCAACCTTGTATCTCACTCTGTTGCCCAGACTGCAGTGCAGTGGTGTAGTTAAGGCTCTCTGCAACCACAACTTCCTGGGCTCAAGCAATCCTCCTGTCTCAGCTTCCCAAGTAGCTGGGACTACAAGTGCTTGTCACCACACCTCACTAATTTCTCATTTTTCCTGTATGTGGATTCCACAGGACTGACTTCGAAAACTTGAGTATGGATGGATTATGGTGTACACAGAAATGGGGGAGCTGGAACTAATCCCCCCCATATACCAAGGGACAAATTATATCTGTTTTTATAATTATACTGTAGGATGCATTATGTTCTATGACAATGGTAATTTTTAATGATAGTTTTTAATTGAGTGGAATTACTATAAAATAATAAAAGTAGCAGCTAGTATTTACTGAGCTGTTACTAGGTGCCTATAAATACAACAGATTTTTTAATTCCCCATAACTCTTCCTTATTCCATGTAACCACTCTATCTTAAATTACTCGTGCTTGCTTCGGTAGCACATATACTAAAGTTGGAACAATGGAGGGATTGGCATGGCCTCTGTGCAAGAAAGACATGCAAATTTGTGAAGCATTCCATATTTTTTTAAAAAAGAGAAAAAAATTACTCCCAGATTTTCACTGGGTACATATGAACTTTTGTTTATGTTGAATTATATCCAAAGATGATATTTCTAGAAGTGAAATTACTGTGAAGGGCATGAGCATTCTTATTACACTTAATGTAAATTGTCGAGCTTTCAGGCATGGCGGCTGTCTGCCTATAATTTCAACACTTTGGGAGGCTGAGGTGGGGGGAGGATTGCTTGAGGCTAGGAGTTGGAGGAGGCAGTATAGGGAGTCATTGTCTATATTATCATTGTCTGCCAAGCTTTACTCTGGAAGGCTTATATACAATTTAAACACCACTAATAGTATAAAAAAAAAATTGTCCATTTCAGGCCAGGCGCAGTGGCTCATGCCTGTGATCCCAGCACTTTGGTAGGCTGAGGTGGGTGGATCACGAGGTCAAGAGATCAAGACCATCCTGGCCAACATGGTGAAACCTCGTCTCTACTAAAAATACAAAAATTGGCTGAGTGTGGTGGCCTGCGCCTGTAGTCCCAGGTACTTGAGAGGCTGAGGCAGGAGCATCGCTTGAACCCAGGAGGTGGAAGTTGCAGTGAGCTGAGATCGCGCCACTGCACTCCAGCCTGGCGATAGAGTGAGATTCCGTCTCAAAAAAAAAAGAAAATGCACATTTCATTGCACCTTTGCCAGCACAGGGTATTATAATTTAACAAGTTATTTTTTTGTTTGACTATTTTTAGTAAATAAAAGACCTAATATTTATTTTTATTTGTCATATTTTAATATCCTTCCTTATGTTAGCTTATTGGCTTTATTTCTTCATTGTCCTTTTTTTATTTTTGAGACCAAGTCTCAACCTATCACCAAGACTTGAGTGTAGTGGCACAGTCTTGACTCACTGCAGCCTTGACCTCCTGGGCTCAGGTGATCCTTCCACCTCAGTTGCTGAGACTATAGGCACATGCACCCATACCTGGCTAATTTTTCTGATTTTTAGTAGAGATGAGTTCTTGCTATGTTTCCCAGGCTGTTCTGGAATTCCTGGCTTTGAGCGATCCTCCCACCGCCCCCTCCCAAAGTGCTGGTATTATTAGCGTGAGCCACCATGCTTAGACTGTCTGTGTCTTTTCCCTTTATTTATAGACTTAATGTGTCTTTTACTAATTTGATTATTTTTTAAAATAGTAAATACTTTTAAATAAAGAAGTGAAAAATTTCCTTCACTCTTTAGACCCACAATTTTATCTCAGGAAATAATTGCTGTTGCAAAAATGGGCCAAATTGGACATCACTTCACGTTTTCTTCGTGGACATCTATGCCAATACCTGTTGATCTATCTTAGTCCTTTTCATGGTTGCATAATATTTTATTATATAGATGTATCACAATTTACCAGTCAGCCACTGTAGGCATTGAGGCTCCTTCTAATATTTGCTTTGAGCTCTTTATATAATTAAAAATTAACCCCCTCAGCCAGGTGTGGCAGCTCACACCTGTAACCTCAACACTTTGGACAGCTGAGGTGGAAGAACGGCTTGAGGTTAGATCATCACCAGCCTGGTCAACATAGTGACACTTTGTTTCTATTAAAAATTTTTTTAAAATGAGCTGGACATTGCAGTGCACCCCTGTAGTCCCAGCTACATGAGGGAGGCTGAGACTGGAGGATCACTCAAGCCTAGGAGGTTGAGGCTGCAGTCAGCTATGATCACACCACTTCACTCCAGCTTTGGTAACAGAGTAAGACTGTGTTTCTTAAATAAAATAAAAATTAGGTGGGAAGATTGCTGTAGTCCTGGAGGTAGAGGCTTCAGTGAGCTGTGATTATACCACTGCAGTCCAGCCCACGCAATACAGCAAAACCCTTTATCAAAGAATAAAATAAAATAAGATAAAAATTAACCCTTGGCCAGGCGCGGTGGCTCAAGCCTGTAATCCCAGCACTTTGGGAGGCCAAGACGGGCGGATCACTAGGTCAGGAGATCGAGACCATCCTGGCTAACACGGTGAAACCCCGTCTCTACTAAAAAAAAATATGAAAAACTAGCTAGGCAAGGTGGCGGGCGCCTGTCGTCCCAGCTACTCGGGAGGCTGAGGCAGGAGAATGGCATAAACCTGGGAGGCGGAGCTTGCAGTGAGCTGGGATCCGGCCACTGCACTCCAGCCTGGGCGACAGAGCGAGACTCCGTCTCAAAAAAAAAAAATAAAATAACCCTTTATCATATTTCCCACCGTCCCGCCTACGTTTTTCCTAGAAGCCCTTGAATTTTGTTTTCTTTTCACATACTGTTTAAAACTTTTAAGTACTGATGTCTTTCTGTTTCATTCCTCCTTTTTTTTTTTTTTTTAAAGAATGTCTTTTTGTCACTTCCAGCTGAATCTACCATGAAAGACTTCAGAGTCCAGGAAGAGAGACTGACTGAGCAACATCTTATTCAGGTACAAAAAGACTTGGACTATAACTAAAAAATGATCAAATAAGAGTGCATGCATCAAGTGCATGGAAAGCACTTCTGGAGGGTGAGAGAAGCTTCCAGTTAAGGTGACATTGAAGCCGGGTCCTGAAAGATGAGGAAGACTTGTATGAGAGTGGAGAGGGAAAGGGGAGGTGGAGGGATGGGATGGAGTGAGCTGTTCGGGCAGAGAAACCAGCACTGTAAAGACCTGGACAATGAAGATGGCACATTTTGTACAGGGAGTGGTGAATTAAGTGTGGGGGGAATGCTTTGGAGAGACAGTAATTTGCTTGTATGGAATTTTGCCCGAGAGACCTCATTACAGTTTCTAATCTTTTGATGTTATCATGCATCACTGTCCTTGTCAAGTAGCTTGGAATAGGTATGGTGATCACAGTAACATCAAGCATAATATTTCGTTAGTTCTCAGAAATGGAGAAGAAGATGTGATGATGGAAGAAGAGGTCAGAGAGGGAGATTTGAAGATGTTGCAGTTCTAGCCTTCAAGATGGAGTTGGGGCCATCTTCAAGGTGAGTCAAGGAATGGGGTGGCTTCTAGAAGCTGGAAAAGGCAAGGGAGCACATTCTCTCTAGAGCCTCCAGAAGCAATACAGCCCCTCTTACACCTTGACTTTAGCCTTAATAGGCCTACTTTGGGCTTCTGGTTCCCAGAACTATAATAGGGTAGATTTGTGGTGTTTTAAGGCACTAAATGTAGGGTAGTTTGTTGCAGCAGCAAGAAGAAATGAACATGAGCCAGGGGCAATTGCTCACACCTGTAATCTCAGCACTTTGGGAGGCTGAGATGGGAGCATCGCTTGAGCCCAGGAATTTATGACAAGCCTGGGCAACATAGTGAGACTTCTTATTGAAAAAAAAAAAAGTAGCCAGGTGTTGTGGCATGCACTTGTAGTCTCAGCTCCTAGGGAGGCTGAGGTGGGAGGATTGTTTTAAGTCTGGGAGGTTGAGGTTACTGTGAGCTGTGATTGAGCCACTATACTCCAGCCTGGCCAATAGAGCAAGACCCTCTTTCAAGAAAGAAAGAAAGAGAAAAGAGAGAAAGAAAAAAAAGAGGGAGGGAAGGAAGGAAGGAGGGAAGGAGGGAGGGAGGGAGGGAGGGAGGAAAAAGAGTGGTGAGGGTTGACCTCATTAGTGAAAATTGAGCAAAAGCTTGAAGCAGGTGATGGAGCTGGCCAAGGTGCTGAGGGAAGAGCACTGTAGGCTGAATCAACAGGATAAGGGCATTAGGAAACTCCCTGGTGAGTCCGAGGCTCTGGAAGGAGGCCAGTGCAGCAGAGAGAGAGAGGGAGAGAAGTAAGGGAGGAGGCCAGAGTTGCTGGGCGGTGATCAGTATAGATTGTGTAAGCCCTGGGAGGCTATTGCTGAGGCTTTGACTTTTACTCTGACTGAAATGGGAACTGCAGGAGCGGTCTGCGTAGAGAGGCGACATGATCTGTCTCCTGATTTAAAAGCACCCCCTGGCTGCTGAGTTGAGAAAGACTGTGGGAAGATTTTGGTAGAAGCATGAAGGCCAAGCTGTGGCAGCATCCAGGTGGGAGATGGTAGTGGTCCTGACCAGGGTCATGGCCGTGGTGAGAGATGGTCAGAACTTGGATAGATGTTGAAGTCAGCCAATAGGATTTCCTGAGAGACTGGATGTGGGCTGTGAGATAAGGCAGGAGTCAAGGTTGAGCTTGATTCTAATTGAATTATTAAGTAATTTTTAAAAACACTGCTTCCTTTCTCAGTCCTACCAAGTAAAGGATGCTACATGAAAGAAATCTCAAGTCAGACCAGGTGCAGTGGCTCACACCTATAGTTCCAACAGTTTAAGAGGCAGAGATGGGAGTGTGTGTTTTAAGGCCCAGGAGTTTGAGAGCAGCCTGAGCAACATAGCAAGACCTCCTCTCTACAAAAATAAAGAAATTTAATAAAGTAAAATAAATACAGCTGAGCATGGTGCTGTGTACCTATCGCCCCAGTTACTCAGGAGGCCAAGGTGGGCAGATCTCTTGAGGCCAGGAGTTTGAAGCCAGCTTGGGCAACATAGCAAGACTTCTCTCTTTAGAAAAATTTTTTTAAAAATAGCCTAACATGGTGGCACTTGCTTTTATTCCCAGGTAGAGGTAGGCTGAGGCAGGATGGTCTCTTGAGTTCAGTTAAACGAGGCTGCAGTGAGCTATGATTTTACCACTGCACTCCAGCCTGGGTGACAGAGTGGGACCCTGTCTGAAAATACAAATATAAATAAAATGAAATTTCAAGTCAGACCAGTCCCTTCTAGGCTGTGGAGGCCTTGCAACCATATAGCCACGTGATTGGGTTTGTGTGGCTGTGGATGAGGGGACCCCTGCCCAATTGTTGCTGGCTATATAATCAGTTTATTTTAATTATAGTAATCAGATATATTTCCTCATACTTGATGGTCTCAGATATGTGTGGGTTTTGGAATTCTCCTTGGTACAGGTTGTAACATCTTACTGGTTTCATCGTTCCATAATTTTTTATCTGATCAGTTTTTAATAAGATCAGAATTGACATTAGACTACCTAATCAGTTTTGATAATGAGAAAATGAAATTGTGAATGAGAAAATGAAATTATGTTGTTTGCACTTTATCCAAGATTGGTTTCATATTGGTTAAAACTAATCAATACTTGAACAAATGCAAAATTAGAGCTTCTTTATCATGAATCACTTTGTCATTCTTTTTTGTAGTCTTTAATAAACAGCTGCTATCATTGCAGATTTGCTATTCAGGCACTTAGGAATTTTTCACTAGAAGGCATGTAAAGAAAGACCATGGGCATTTGTAATGAATTTAGCATTCATTGTTTGACTGCATGACTGTCCCTAGAGCTATAGCTTTACTAATGAATTTTTCAGAAGCCACTTTACTAGCAACTGGGCCTAACCAGCCACTTAAACTCTCCTTATTCAGTCCTCTTTTATTCTTGTCTATTTCTCCTCAAACTTGGCTATACTCACAAAGTGACAAAAACTTGCATTTCTTTTCTTTCGTTTTTAGAGACAAGGTCTTGCTCTGTGTCCCAGGCTGCAGTACAGTGACATGATCATGGTTCACTACAGCCGCAAATTCCTGGGCTCAAGCAATCCTCCCACCTCAGTCTCCCAAGTAGCTGAGACTACAGACATGTGCCACCATGCCCAGCTAATTTTTTATGGTTTTTATTTTTATTTATTTTTTTTTTTTTCCGTAGAGATGGGATCTTGCTAGGTTGCTCAGGCTGGTCTCAAATTCCTGACCTCGAGTGATCCTCCTGCCTCAGCCTTCCAAAGTGCTGGGATTACAGGCAGGCATGACCACCTGTGCCCAGCCCCTTATTATTATGTTTTTAAATAATAACTTTATTAAAATATGATTCACATACCATTCAATTTATTTATCGAAATCTGCAATTCAGAATGTTTTAGAATATTCACAGAACTGTGCATCGATCACCACAGTCACTTTTAGAACCATTCATTACTCTACAGAGAAATCTGCACCCCTTAGCCATTACCTCCTACTCCCCCAGCCTGCCTTTGCCCCCAGCCTTAGGCAACCATGGATTCATTTTCTGTCACTATAGGTTTACCTAATCTGGACAAATAGAATTGTACAATAGGTGTTCTTTTGTGGCTTTTTTCCCTCTTAGCACAATGTTTTCAAAGTTCCTTTATGTCATAGGGTGAATCAGTATTTCATTTTTTCTATGGCTGAATAATATTCCATGGTAGAGACACACTGCATTTTGATGATCCATTTATCAGTTGGCGGACATTTGGGTTGTTTCCACGTGTTGGCTATTATGCTGCTATGAAGATTGCTGTACAAGTTTTTGTGTGGATATGTATTTTTATTTCTCTGGGATATATGCCTAGGAGTGAAACTGTTGCATTATATTTTACATTTAGCCTTTTGAGAAACTGCCAGACTGTTTTCTAAAGTGACTACACCAGTTGGGTGCAGTGGCTCACACCTATAATCCCTGCTACTCAGGACGCTCAGTTGAGACTATGGCTTGAGTCCACAAGTTCAAGACCAGCCTCGGCAAGACAGTGAGACCCTGTCTTGATTTAAAAAAAAAAAAAAATCCAATTAAAATAGACAAGAAAAGAAATACCCAAACAAAGTAGTTACACGATTTTATGTTCCCACCAGTAATGTATGTGGGTTCCAATTCCTCCACATCTTCACTGACATTATTTTTTTTTCCAGACAGGGGCTTGCTCTGTCTCTCAGGCTGCAGCACAGTGATGCCATCACAGTTCACTGAAGCCTTGACCTCCCAGGCACAAATGATCCTCTCATCTCAGCCTCCTGAGTAGCTGGGAATTATAGGTACATGCCATCATGCCTGGCTAATTTTTATATTTTTTTGTAGTGATGGGGTTTTACCATGTTGCCCAGGCTGGTCTCTTACTCCTGGCCTCAAGTGATCTGCCCACCTCAGCCTCCCAAACTTCTGGAATTACAGGCTGAGCCACTGTTCCTGGTCTTCACCAACATTTGTTATTATCTGTTTTTTTTTTTTTTTATTTGTACCTTAAAGTAGTATAAGAGCAAGTGTTTTCAATTATAGTAAACAAAAAATATAATCCCAGGGGATTTGGATGCTGAGACAGGAAGATCTCTTGATGCCAGGAGGTTTTGTTTGTTTGTTTGTTTTTGAAACAGAATCTCACTGTGTTGCCCAGGGTGGAGTGCAGTGGTGCAATCTCAGCAGACTGTAGCCTTCACCTCCCAGGTTCAAGCGATTCTCCTGCCTCAGCCTCTTGAGTACCTGGGATTACAGGTACATGCCACTACTGCCCAACTAATTTTTGTATTTTTAGTAGAGACGGAGTTTTGCCTTGTTGATCAGGCTGGTCTCTAACTTCTGACTTCAGGTGATCCCCCACCCCCGCCTCAGCTGCCCAAAGTGCTGGGATTAGAGGTATGAGCCACTGTGTCCGGCCTGATGCCAGGAGTTTTAGACCAACCTAGCAAGACCTCATCTCTACAGAATATTTAAAAATTAACCAGATGTGTTGTTGCCTGCCTATAGTCTCTTTTACGTTTTGAGACATGGTCTGGGTCTGTCAGCCAGGCTGGAGTGCCTCGTATGATCATGGCTCACTGCAGACTGAAACTCCTGGGATCAAGTGATCAGTCCTCCCACCTCATCATACCAAGTAGTAGGGACCACAGGTGTGTGCCACCTGGGTCCTGCTGTGTTGCCCAGGCTGGTTTTGAGCTCCCGGCCTCAAGCAGTCCTCTCACTTTGGCCTCCCGAAGTGCAAGGATTACAGGTATGAGTTACCACGCCTGGCCCCTACCCTGCCTATTGAGAACCAAAAGAAGGAACCTAATTCTCCTTAGCTCAATTCGAACCATTTCCTGATTGGTTCATCAGCAAGGAGCTGGTTATTGAGCTGTCCAGGCCTCCTAAGCCACACAGAAATGAGGTGAGAGAGTTTTCCTGCTGCTCCACTCTGTGAGGAGTTGGAGGATGATGTTTACTTGTTTGCAGAGAGAGATGTCTTGTAGGCATCTTAGGATGGAGGGGACCCTGATTCCAATGT